ACCGTCACATTATAACGCACCCACGGCTAAAAGGGCTAGCATGTCTGGTGGGACGGGGATTCGAACCCGCGACCCGCAGACTGCGAGTCGAATGCCCTAACCACCTGGCCATTATAGTTTATATAGCAATCAGAAAAATATACTAAACGATCTTTACTAGCTATTTAATTTCATGGTATGTGCCCCCGGTACAGACTTGCAAAGTTAAAATCTTGGGCTCGATCTCTCACAAAGAGCAGAACGTAAATAGCCCAGTATTTTCGATGTAGTCACACACTTATACTTAATAACTGTACATAGTCACGACAAAAAGTCATTTGTATTGATAATCGTTTATAACATCTTCATACTTTAAAAAATAATGCGCAAAATGTCAACACAGAAATAACCTTGCAAGTGGCTCCTCTATAATCATTTCTTAAACTAGTCCTAAAAAACTAAAGCCATCAGTCTACTGGGTAAAAGAATATTATTATTTTTTAATTACGAGCGTAGAGATCTCACGGCAATAAAAGCCTTATATATATATATATATATACTCTTCCCAATCTGAGAGTGCGTCGTTTAATCACAGAAGTCTATTTATGTATCCACTGTATCTAAAGATAAGAAGAAACTGTGTGCCTCAAGTTGAACCATAATATTTGATATGTACTTTTATTATTTGCTATTCAATATACTATATAATGGTAGTTTTAGTTTCTGGTGGGATTCTCTTGATCAATTGGTGACAACTTGCTGGAGCAGTAACTTAGCATAGATGGACAAAGGTAAATGGTGGAAAAGTACAGCTTAATGTGTAGTTAGCTCTTCCTATAGCCTGAAATTATTTTTATCTAAATATATTTTATTTTTATCAGTGTCAAGGAGAATTATAATAGACTTCAAGCACACTTGTTTATATCTGAAATCTCATATTTTTTGTCCTCTAAGTAAATCTATGCACATTTAACCATAACTCTACTGTTATTGGAAAGTATCACATTTTCTCTCTTTCATGTTTGAAGTCAATATATTAGATAAAATCAATAACATTACCCAACATAATCTACGGACAAAAATAAATCATTTGGTCCTTCACCTACACTAACTCTTGGGAAAAGTGGATCCTGTAATAATAATTCCACCGCAAACATTTATCTTTATCGCGGTAGCTATTGTCGTCATATTTCTTAAAAATTACTACCAGAGGCCAGCGGACTGACAAGGCATCTAACATGTATGGCAAGTTCCATGTTGTGGAAGGCTTACTAGAAAACAGAAATGTGTAAATAGTGTGACGGATTTATTAATATATAATATATCGACGTTTGTTTAGATTAAGTTTATATTTAGAAATATGCATAGCTTATAGTGTTAAATATGTATTGCGAAACTCCTTGCCTATTCTCCAAAGTTGTAGAAGATTCTCGAGAGTAAGAATCAACAATATATGTATGTACTTAAACGCTTAAATGTAGCTTTGTATTGTTACTTAATCTGAATTTTCGAGAAACTCTCCAAACGCCTATAAATATAACCAACGGGACGCGCCAAATGGGTGTATATATTATTAGTTTGCTATAGTCAGTGTGCTGTAAACTTCAGAAGCTATAACTGTGATTGTTATA